TTACCCATTTTGACTAAAGTTGAAATTAAGGGAGTGATAATTTTGTATTGACTTTCCAAAAATACCCTTGATGTAATAGGTAAAAGTAGGATGTGATGTGTAGATTATTAGAAAAAAGGTATGATGTGATAGGTAGGTTTTGAAAAAGTAAGGGGTACAAGTGGTTTTTTAATAGAAATGAGTAAGAGATTGTGGGACGTAATTTTTTTTTAAACGTGTAAATCTTTTTGGGACGGAGGGAGTATATACTAAAATAGAACTTCTAATCTTTTTATATCTAACTACGACTTATAATACAAAATAATATCAATGTATAATGCCAAAGATACAGTGAAATGTCAACATAAATGTCAAATTGTGTCTTGACAATGTCAAGAATCCTATTTACTCCGTATGAGATTAAGAAATAAGAGGCTGGTCTGTCTTGTTTTAATCGTATTTAGGTATATCTTTTCTTATCAATAATGAAGTGACATGAGAAAATTCTCCCACTGCATGCATGCATGCAGATTGTTATTTCTCCATGAAGGTGTGGAATGGACAGCAAGCAGGTGCGGCAGCAGTGTTAGTGGCCGACACCTACAACGAGCCTCTCATAACAATGGTCTCCCCCGACGAGAGCTCCGACAAAGACGGATACATAGAGAAGATCGGCATCCCCTCCGCGCTGATCGAGAAGTCCTTCGGCGACACCCTAAAGGAGGCTCTGAGGAGAGGCGGCGGCAAGGGCGAACAAGTCATTATCAAAATGGATTGGACCGAGTCGATGCCCCACCCGGACGAACGGGTGGAGTACGAGCTGTGGACGAACGGGAACGACGAGTGCGGGAAGGGCTGCGACGACCAGATGGACTTCATCAAGAACTTCAAAGGGCATGCCCAGATTCTTGAGAAGGGTGGGTTCACCATGTTCACACCTCACTATGTGACATGGTACTGCTTCACGCCGTTTAGTAAGAGCAGCCAGTGCAAGTCCCAGTGCATAAACCACGGCAGGTACTGTGCACCAGACCCAGACCAGGATTTCTCAAAAGGGTATGATGGGAAGGATGTGGTGCTTGAGAACCTGAGGCAGCTTTGTGTGCATAGGGTTGCTAATGAGAGTGGGAAGTCATGGGTTTGGTGGGATTATGTCACTGATTTTCACATTAGGTGTTCCATGAAAAACAAGCAATACACTAAGGAATGTGCCCAACAAGTCTTGAAATCTCTGAGTAAGTAATAATAGTACTTCTTTTGTCCCAAAATTAAACATTCTTATATTATGCATTCGACGTTTTTTTACAATATCCAAGCCTCCAAGGAACGTATAAATTGGGTTTGATTTTTAATTTCCATCTTAGTTTTACCTAACCGTAGGGTAAGAATAGAATGTGATGAATAGAATAATAATGAATACATATGATTTTATATGGAAAGCAGTAAAATATTATGCAGGACAAGTTTAATGAAACTATATTTTTTTATCATCATTCAATGTATTTTTTAAATAAATAAATAAAATGGTCAAAGTTTGTAGATTAGACATTAATTACTATAGATACATGCTTGAATGCAATATTTTTGGTTCTTCATTCATCAGACTTGCCAATTCGAAGGATAGAGAAATGCATGGGTGATCCTGAAGCTGATGCAGATAATGAGCTCCTCAAAGCTGAGCAAGCACTGCAGGTTTACAGTTATTAACCCTTAATTAGAAACTAACCCTTTTTTTCTAGCTAATCCTTAGTTAAACTTTGGTTAATGTTTTTTAGTTGGTATATACTAATCCGTTTTTAAATCAAAGTCACAGTTCGATTTTAACGATCTGTGATAGGATTTTGTACTTTTTAATGATGTTCAAAGTTTATAAATTTTAATACGAAAAGTGTTGTAACTTTGTATTAAGTTTCTTTTACCGAGGAGATATTTTTATTTTATTTTATTTTTTTCTACAGATGCATAAAAAGAGTTTTTTCTGATTATGTTTTGTTTGGAACAGATTGGGCGAGGAAATCGTGGTGATGTTATTATGTTGCCTACCATGGTCATTAACGATGTCCAATATAGAGGTTTTTTCCTAAAACTTTTAATGTTACCTCTTTTTTTTTGTGAAGAGCTATGCTATACATCCGGGTGTATCTTAAACATTTTACATTCAAGATATATCAGAGTGTAAAAGTGATTGAAAATGTAGAGATGGTACGTCAAATATAGGGGTATGCCCTTTGGGGTGGGACAACCAAAAAGGTGATTTGTGTCTTTTGGCACGGGACAGAGGGAGTATATAATAAAACAGAAAACCTGAACTTTGAAATTTTGTGCTTCTAATAACAGGTAAACTTGAAAGGAGTGCTGTGTTGAAAGCCATTTGTGCAGGGTTCAAAGAAACAAGTGAACCGGCAATTTGTCTCAATGCAGGTTTGTTTTTTACTTCTATCTTTTGAATTAATCTCTACATTGGTTGTTTCAATAATATTGGTTTGATTTATTATTATTATTATTATTACGGAGTATTATTATTATTATTATTATTATTAATGTTTTTTTTTGACAATTAGAGCTTGAGACAAATGAGTGCCTTGAAGGGAATGGCGGCTGCTGGCATGACCCAAAGTCCAACATAACAGCCTGCAAGGTACTTTAACATGGTTTTAACATGTGTTAAAACTAGAACATAGAGAACAAATACTATAAGATAGTGTTTGGCAACTAGCATTTCATTTCAATTCCAAAATTTGAAATCTTGAATTTTAAATGACAAGGGGAGGTGCATGGATTTCAAATTAAGCTTTGTTATGAATGAAAAGAATTTGACTCAAATCCAAATTCAAAATTTTTAAGTTTCCCAAACATGGAATTTGAGTCAAATTTGGATTTGAAATCCAAATCCATGTTTCCAAACATACCATAAAGGCATTCTCTGTTTTGTTATTTAATTTCAATTTTAGACACTGCATTTAGAGTATATTCAGTTTATATGAGATTTTATTGTTGAGTTCAACTCTTACATCGGCTTTCTAAGCTTATATTGTGGTTTTTATAATAGCTTCAGTACCCAACCCTTTGAGTTAACTTTTGGGATTGAATTGGGCCCAAATTTATTAGGAATATTTCACAAGTTACTTCTCAAACATATAATATTTTAAAAAAAAATGGATGATTAAATCTAGCCAAATTAAGTGAGTGAGTTGGCTAATCATTTCCCATGAATAACAAACTTTTGTTGTTTATGAAGGACACATTTAGGGGAAGAGTATGTGAGTGCCCTTCACTAAATGGTGTAAAGTTCAAAGGAGATGGATATACATCATGTGAAGGTACAATTTCTTGTGGAAAGTACCATTTGCAATTTTGCACCCCAATAAAAAAATACCCCTCTTTACATGCTTTTTTTTAATAATTAATTTCCCATTTTTATTTCTCTCTATTCTCTTAAGGTGTTGGGCCTGGGAGGTGTGCCATTGACAACGGAGGCTGCTGGTCAGAGACTAGACATGGAACAACCTTTTCTGCTTGTCCAGTTCAGTGTTCTTTAATTTTTCATACTATAATCTCAGAGTATTTAATTGCTTATTATGGTAAAAAATTCCAAAATTTGACCAATAGAAGCCAAATGAGAAGTTTATTTTGGTACTGAAAAACTATTATTTTTCATTCCGATTTCTAGTTATCTTAAACATTTGTTTGATGCAAAGCAGGAAGCTCTTGTTTCTGGCTGCAAATGTCCAAAGGGTTTTAAGGGGGATGGTCATAAATGTGAAGGTACTATAACTCTATTACAGAACTAACCATTCCCTCTAAATCAAATTAAATCTACATTAAAAGCTCTTAAAAAATGGACATTTCTCATTTGTTCTATGGTTTATTGTTACAGATGTGAATGAATGCAAGGAGGGCACAGCCTGCAAATGTGATGGTTGCAGTTGTAAAAACACTTGGGGTGGATATGACTGCAAATGCAAAGGGGATAAATTGTATATTGTTGAGCATGACACATGCATTGGTAAGATTACAATAATTTTATATATATATGTGTGTGTGTGTGTGTGTGTTTGTTTGTGTGTATGTATGTATGTATATGTATATATATTATTTATATATAGGCAATATTCAATTATACAAGTGCATATGATAATTAAGAGCATTATGCCATTGGTTAGTGTGCTTTTATTAACAGTCATTGGTTACTACATTTTTCTTGTGTTTTGTACAGAAAGACACTCCTCATCAAAAGCTGGGCAGTTGATTTCTTTGGTCATTGTGGCCGTTGCGCTTTGTGTTGGTCTTGTTGGGTACATATTTTACAAATACAGACTTCGGGTTCGTGCAAAGAATTTGATTCGACATTTTCTTCCCAACTTTCTTTGGTTCAGTCATCGAAAAAAAATATTGAAATAATTTCGAACTCTTAATATGTTTTGTCTTTCCAGTCATACATGGACTCAGAAATTAAAGCTATAATGGCGCAGTATATGCCGCTTGACGACAACCATCACAATCGCATCGTGCAACACGGAACGTATGAGCCTTCACGAGAAAGCATATCCGCTGCGTGAAGAAGGTTTATTGGTTACGCTTATGGAGATGTATGTAATCTTCCCATTTTAATGGGTTTGGCCTTCCATAAATATGGATGCATCAGTGACACAGATAGGGAGACAGACCAAAAGCCTAAAATCTAGGAGGATGTTATGTTCTAATATGAGGGTGCTATGTTTTTATAGTCCTTACACTGATTTTTATTTTCCTATTCCATAGAGTTTTTCATGGGATGAATAGAATTGAGGATAAACAAAATATAGGTATAAAGAAGAACTGCATTTCTCATCTTAATTATTTTTTTACTTTTCGTCTTCAAATATATCCCACATTTCCTACCAAGACCGAAAATTTCTCAAACTGAGAATTCATTGTGGTAAATTTGTTTAAGGTTCCTTAACTATCGTGGTCCGTTTGGAAATCAGGAAAATGAATTCCGAAAAACAATTTTTTTTGCGGGTTTTGCTGAAAGGATGAAAATTGCCTATTCCTGTTTCTTATTTGGCTCATTTCTGAAAAATGGAAATCTAGAAAATGAGTCCTGTAAATTAGGGGTGCATGAACCTGGGCATTCTATGAGGCATTTCGTCGAACAGTTTGGGGGCACACTTGCCTAGTTTGAGCAGGAACCAAGCCAGCAGCTTTCGCAGCACCAGGAACCTCTAGGCTATATAAGAAGACACCTGCAATGCCATAAAATCATTAGGAGTTGAAGACATAAACCTGGGAACTCGTAGGGATGGTATAGGGACTACCAGGAGCTAAAACCGAGCAACAACAAGCCCAAAAAGGAGATTCAAAGCCCACATATTGTTCTAGTTCATAGATGGGCAGTGCGCAGGTGCAATGTTCACTTGGAGATGGCGAGAAGAAGAAAGGTGAAGAAGAGAGCCGTTAGCCGAGAAAATTATTGGATTTAAACCAGGATCAGCCATCCAAGAGGCCCTCTTTCTTTTCGAGTCAATCGAGTCCAATTTGGGGTTTTGGAGGGGAGGGGGGAAATTTTAAGATATAGGTGCATGCTAGGGGTACACTAAAATGGAATATCTCATTTGTACATTAGGAAAATATAGATACTAAATGTTGTTTATCTGTGTTTGACTGATGTAGAAATAAATACCTCATTTTGGTGTGCCCTAGGTTTATTCTACGATATAACTTGATGTACTAAAAATTCTGTTCAGCTTGGAATTAGATCGAAAAAAAGGAGAAGTGCGTAGATGATGAGGGGGAGGCTGGCGAAGATTAGTCCGGTAGAAGAAGAAGAGCCATTGTCTAGTTAAGGAGAGACACACCAACGACGAAGTAGAGGCGCACTGTCAGCCGCCACTGTTCAGCAAAGATTAGTCCGATCCAAGAAGAAGATTAGTCTGGTCGAGGAAGCTCCGTCCCCAAACCACTAAACCAGTACTTCGTCCACCAGTCAAATGGATGAAAAATCCTAGCACTGCTCTTGTCGTGTGGGTAGGAGAAGAAAGAAAGGTCGACTCCAAGTATGAATTCTATTTTGCTTGAGAATAAACACTAAGTTATTTGAAAATGAGTACAAATTTGTTTTAGAATGAATACTACGGTATTCGAAAATGAATATATTATAATTGTATTGAACAAATATGTGAAAATGAAGACCACATTATTTCAAAATGAGTACTATGTTATTTCAAAATGAACACTTATGTAATCTACGAGAATAAGAACTAACTTCAAAATGAGTAATACCTGGCCCTACCTTACTTCTGGTACAGCCGGCTGTACCATATACTTACCTGGAGGCACAAATTATGCGGTAGAACTGGATGTACCAAAAATTCGGTTCAGCTTAGAATTAGATCGAAGGAAGGAGAAGTGCGTCGACGATGAAGGGGAGACTGACGAAGATTAGTCGGATTGAAGAAGAAGTGCCACTGTCCGACGAAGGAGAGACACATCGACGGCGAAGGGGAGGCGCACTGTCAGCCACCACTAGTCGGCGAAGATTAGTCCGATCGAGGAAGCTCTACCCCCGACCTAGTACTCTGACCTCCAGTCAAATGGATGAAAAATCCTAGTGCTGCTCTTGTGGGGTGGGTAGGAGAAGAAAGAAAGCTCGGTTGCTGGTATGAATTCGATTTTGCTTGAGAAAAAACACTAAATTGTTTGAAAATGAATACTACTTTGTTTTAGAATGAATACTACGTTATTCGTAATTGAATATTATAATTGTATTGAACAAATGTTTGAAAATGAACACTACATTACTTCAGAATGAGTACTACGTTACATCAAAAGGAACACTTATGTTTTGTGTGAGAATGAGTATTACTTTCTTTCAAAATGAGTATTACCCGGCTATATTTTACTTCTGGTACAGTCGGTTGTACCATATACCTACTCGAAGGGGTGGAGTTTGGACTGGATGAATGACCTGTCTAGTCCGCTTCCGCAATATATGCTCTGTCTGCAACCGGTTGTATGGTGTTTACATCGCGACTAGTACTCGTTTGTGAGAAATTGAATACACATTCGCGAGAAACTAAATACAAATTTGCGAGTATCGATTTAAAATCTAATATAAAAACTAAAAATTAGAAATTTAAAATTAAAGGTTTAGAAAATAAAATGACAATTTAAAGCTTAAAATTTAAAATCTCAAGTTTATAATTAAAATATAAAAAATAAAAATAAAAATAAAAAATTTAAAACTAAAAATATTAAAAATTAAGAATTAAAAACTCAAACTAAAAAAATTAAAACTTTGACATTTAAAATTTAAATTTAAAGTATGAAATTTAAATTTAAATTTTAAAATCTCAATTCAAAATTCTGAATAAAAAATAAAAGTCTTAAATTTAATATTCATAATTTTAAAACTTGAAAGAAATAATAAAAAATTTAGAATTAAAATTTAATATTTTGAAAATATAAAATTAGAAATTTTAAATTTAAAACATAAATTTAATTTAACTTAATTTAAATTAAATTTTTAATTTTATGTATGTATATATATATACACACATACATACATACATACATACATACATATATATATATACATACATACATATATATATATATATATATATGTATGTATGTATATATATATATATATGTATGTATGTATATATATATATATATATATATATATATATATATATATATATATATATATATCAATATAGTTATTTGAAAGGAGATCATTTTACCAAACTTTTTCTAACATTCCACTAACACATCTAGCCGATCAAATAAGCTAAACAAATTAGTCATTAAGAACAGCTAACAAAATACTGCGCAACCAACAATTAACCGTCAACTTCCATACAAAGTCGATCTATCTATCTATTTATAAGGAGTTAGCAACCACGCTCATCTTTCTCTACAGATTCGATCTCATATTATTTGATTATCTTGTTACTACTTTTTGTCGAAAATCTGAATTTTGCATCACCTTCTTGTGTTGTAGGTTTGCGTGATTTATCTTTAGATTTATCAATTTTTTCCATATCAATTTTAGTAATTAGCTAGGATTTTAATTGGTTTGAATTACTCTATTGCGAGAAATTCTCAAAATAGAGTTGTGTATTAACTCTATATTCATAGTACAATTCTATGTTATTGAACAAAGGATTCGAGATCATAATACATTATCAATTCTTTAGTAATTAATGCCAAAAAAGGATTTCTAATTGAAATTGATAATTTTTCAAAAGCATGAAGTGTCAAAGGATAGACATGAGTTCGATTCCTAACAACTGTGCTGGTAGACAACTATGTTAAGCACAAAGCTTTTGTAAGTATCAAGTATTGACTTTACTACATGTCATTAATCTGCGATTAAAATTCAATTTACTTCACCGTCTGGCTGGATTTGTGGGACCCTCATGGTTGGGGATCAATTTTTTAGAAAGAAAAGTGGGGTGGCCAATCACACTCCACTGCCAAAATTCAGCGCGAAATTCTCTGTTTCTCTCCACACGGTTGCATAAATGTCGCCATTTGGTAATTCCAATTTTTAGATATAGACATAAAGTGCATCGCTAAAAAATAACTTTCCATAATTGGTAAAATGCATTTTCGGAATATTATTTATTACTGCATAATCTAAATTAAATTGCTGACACTCAATTAGGTCATTCTGTCTTATCCAGCCTTGAGACTAGATTGATTCAATTTCCAATAGAAGAATTAAACATCATTCGTCCATAAATATATTGACTAAATGGAATACAGACTACAGGGTATTTATGTAATTTCCTTATTTGTTCAAATATAATTCGTCAATTTTCTAAAATTCGTGGCCAGATGGTTTTTTAGTACTCCGTAATATTGGTATTTCATTTTCTTTTCTCTCCTTTTCTTTCCTTTTTCCATTTCTTTATTTTTTCTTCCTAACCAAATAAGAAAAATCGTTTTCTATCTTTTTTTACCCTTTCTTTTTCTTTTCAAATTTTGTGAATCAAACATTGGGTAAATTTAGCTAGAGTAAAGGATATTCGAAGAAAAAATTTAAACTATAAAAACGAGATATCTAGATTGAAAGGGATTTGAGTTAGTTATTTTTTTACATAATATTCCATTAATTTACCTCAACTTTTTTTATATAGAAAATGGGTAATTTCAATTCACATAACTTATGAGTTAGTTAAAAATGCACTGCTCTGATCATTAATATCTCTATTTATATATAATTTTATATCATAAAAAACATGATATTTTTAAACTTTATTTCAAAATGACTCTAATAATATTAAATTTATATAATCATAACTCAATATACTTTTTTCTATATTTTATTGTCAAAGTTAGAAACATTTGACCTAGAAAAAGCAAAATGAAGATAATTCTGAGACTAAGGGAGTATATAAATTAAATTTACCTTTAAAATTTACATCAATATTAAAATAAGTTGGGTTAAAAATAAATTCAGTCAAATATAATAAAATAGACATGAAAGGAGAATTTTATTTTGGTACGAGCAAGAGTCTATGTCAAATACGTTGGGAAGAATGGTGTCTCACGCACATCTTTTACCATATATGCTTCGTATGTTTGACGAATTTGAGAGATTCTTACAACTTTGTATTCTTCTATAAAATGAGAAAGAAGAAAACTAAAGAGAGGAAAAGTATTTGATCTCCAATGGTTTAAAGAGAGGAGAAAGACACAATAACAACACAACTAATGAAATGAAGCTATTACTCATAACACTAATTCTTATCATTAGTAATGCGGCGGCGGCCATTTCCATGGACCTCAACGCCATTTGCAACTCCACATCCTACCCTGCTCTATGCTACAACCGGCTCACCACCATTTTCGGGCCGGCGGCCGGCGACCTCGGACTTCCCGACGTTTATACGTCGTCCGTGCGTATCGCCATTGACGAGCTCTTGGCCGCCTCCAACAAATTACTCGAACTCGAAGCCCTGATAGACGGCGACAGACGACGACAGTCGTCGTTGTCTGGCGCCGTCCGATTTTGCCGTGAGCTCCTCTCCGTCCGCGCGTTTGCCGGTCTAAAAGACTCGTTATTGGCGGTCATCAGCCCGACGATGAGTACGTTCGAGGATCTCAAAACGCGGCTCACCGCCGCCGGGATATACCACCAGACGTGCCTCGATGCCATTGGAGGCGCAGAGGACGACGGGAGGTCGAAAATAAGACGCGCGGATTTAAGGAACGTTATAAAAAACTCGACAGAGTTGACCAGCAACAGTCTGGCCATCCTGTATGCACTTGAGGAATCTATTGGGGCCACCAATAGTAGTTCATCAGGTGACATGCAGTTGACTGGCAGGTCAGAAGTCAAAGAAAAGTTTTATACTCGAAGCGTGTTAAGGTTCGTCGCGGATGTGGTGGTGGCGAAGGACGGGTCGGGAAACTTTACGAGGATCGGGGACGCGCTAAGCGTCGTTCCGAGGGAGAGCGACCGGAGGGTGGTGATCTACGTGAAGGCCGGGGTTTATGATGAGATTGTGAATGTTGGGGTGGATAAGTGGAACGTTGTGATGATCGGCGACGGGATGGACGCCACAATTGTTACCGGAAACCTCAACTCCGGTGACGGAACAGGATCCTATTTTTCTGCAACATTCAGTACGTAAACGTACCCTATTTAATTGCTATCTATGGCTTGCACATCTTACATTTACTCCTTTCATTTCATTCCTTTTTAACTGATCACTGTTATATGATTTTCTCATTCATTGATGGAGTATTTTTCATATACACCCTTCATTCTTCAAAGAGTTTCTTTTAACTTTCTTTGTCAAATATTCCTCCATTCCTGAAAACCTTTCTCTTTTCTTTTTTCATTCGTCCCAAAAAACACTTCTCATTTCTATTAAAAAGTCACTTTTACCTCTTACTTTTCCATACTCTACCTATCACATCATACCTTTTTACTAATAATCTATCCATCAAATTATACTTTTACCCATCACATCAAAAGACATTTTTGAAAATTCAATACCAAAATACCCTCCCCTTAAAATTCCTCTTCAAAATCAAAACTCCCATGTTTTCCGGGACGGAGGGAGTATTTAATCTTTGACCATAAATTACAGAAAAAATGACACTACTACAAAAAAGAGTGAATCGACTTCCTCATTTGCCTCGGTTTCCCTATAAACCGATGCAAATGGGAAATGAGGATTTCGCCAGTTGTACTCTTTTGCATCAGTTGATAGTAATAATCGATGCAGATATCTGTTGCATCGGTTATTACTAAAGACAGATGTAAAAGACTGAAGCTTTTTGAATCGGTTGTTAGTAACAATCGATGCAATAGGTCTAATTAAATTGTCATATAAATTTCAGATCAATATACTCACTTTGAAACATAGTTTTGTAAATTTATAAATTAATTATATCTGTATATAAACTGAGATATTAAGAGTCAAAGTTTTGCATTGAAAATTGAAAAAAGTCAAATGAAAACTTCTTTTATGGACAGAGGGAATAATTATATTCCTTGAGTTGTCTCAAATCAATTCTAAGTATGTCAATATGTTACCTCTTATTTTATGAAAATGTTAGGGTGCCCCAAATGATTGCTATCACGGGTGCACTCAAGCTTCGTACAGATAATTATCGTCTCTGTTGCACAGATGATTATCATTTTTATTCATGTCATTTGTGCGAAGCTTGGGTGCACCCATGGTAGCAATCGTTTGGAGGCACCCTAGCATGGCCCCTTATTTTATGGTAGAGAATTTGATATGTTCTCACCGTTTCGAAAAGATTATCATAGTTTGACTTTTTGTCAAATATGTCTCACTTTGACGGTAAATTATGAAAAAAAGATTTAGTTATGACGTAAATTTAGTAAAATTGAATTCATTTTGAAATATAGTTTTGATATATCAAATTTTCATAACATTTAATTATTTAAAAGTGTATATATAATTTGTGGTAAAAAAAATCAAATTATAATAATATTTTTGGAACGGAAGTAGTAGCTTTTAATATATAGTCCACTCGTTCCAAGTTAAATTTCATGTTTTTTTCTATGGTCAACTTCATTCATTAACGTTTTTACTTATTTTAATTACTTATTTGATAAAATAATATAAACATGTCATTCCTTGTTTTTATAACTTTTTAATGTAGTTTTTTATATATTCCCTGTGTCCCTAAAAGATTTTCTCCTTTCATTTTATTTTTATCCCAAAAAGTCTTTATATATGTAGCACTACGGAGTATTAAAACATCACGTTTATCCTTACTAATTATTATTACCATCTATACCACATCATAGATCTATTTACTACTATTTTATTCATCATATTTTACTTTACTTATCACATCAAACGTAATTTGGTAAAATCAAAACAAAGATATCTCTCTTAAATTTCATAAAAAACAAAAAACAACAGAAATTTTGGGATGGAAGGAGAATATAACTTTAATTTTTTTTAATTTTAACCCCATTCTCAAATAAATTACATTAAAAATAATTTTAGAAATTTAAGGAAATATTTTATTCTCTTAAAATATCAATTTTAAATTTGATGTAGAGCTTTTAGGAGTTTAAGAAATGTGGAATTTATTGTGTGGTTGAATTTTATGTCAAAGAAAAAGAAATATGCAGAATTAAAATTCACTTTAGGACACCGCCAGAAAAAGTTAAAAATTTAATTTAAGGACAAATAGAGGAAATACTTAATGGCAAATTAACACACACTTGTATATGGTGAATCTCCCATATATGATAGGTTAGAGGTTCGGTTTCGAGTAGGGATAATAATTCTACGTGCTTAATAGTTTAAAAATATATGAATAGATACTACTACGTACAATCTCCTTTCTGAACCCGAAATTTCAAAATTTATCATTTTCTTACCTACTGTTTACCCGGAGTATTTAATAAATAAATTATAGGGTGTACAATATGTTACTTCTAAACATAAAATTTGTTAATATACTTTCTTGTACACAAAAATTAGTAATATGTTCTTTTTTTGAAAGGAGTAATATGTCCTTTTTACTTCTCCATAATTTTGTTGAATTTTGTGAACTCAAATAGTAAATAGTACTCCCTCCGTCCCAAAAAGATTTACACCTTTCAAAAAAATTATGTCCCACAATCTCCTACCCATTTCTATTAAAAAACCACTTTTACCCCTTACTTTTTCAAACCCTACCTATCACATCATACTTTTTTCCTAATAATCTACACATTACATCCTACTTTTACCCATCACATCAAGGGTATTTTTGAAAAGTCAACACAAAATTATCCCCCCCTTAATTTCTACTTTAGTCAAAATGGGTAACACTTTATGGGACGGAGGGAGTATTATTTTGGAATTGAAGGGGAAGGAGTAATGAGACCAAGAATAAAGACGATTTGTTAAAAGGTCATCTATCTCACATTCTCACAAGTCACCCCTTCCATAGTTCCATAGCATTTTAGGTACTAATATTTTCTAAATAAATCACAAAGGAAGAGATAAAAGTATTGATCAAAATTTAGTTTACTCCCTCCCTTCCAATTTAATTTGTATGTTTCATATTCATATGTTCAAATTTCTTTATTTTTTTATTTATTTTTGTGGCTCTTATTTCACCCTAATTTTCAAATAAATTAAATTAAAAATAATCTTAGTCCATCATCATAGATTGAAATAACAATTTAATTTGGAACAAAGAAATTAAAGTAATTTATTTTACATTTTTTAGTCATTAGATTCAACAAACTAGCGAATACTCATTTACATAATATTGAGTATAATATCAAATACTCCCTCCATCCCAAAAAGAGTTGCATGTTGTTTCCGAAGTTTGACTGCAATTATTTTCTATTCAATCTATTTGAAAATTAGTAAGGAATTCAAAAATTAAATTTATATAATTAAAAATTAATAGTGATATTTGTGGTGCCAAACTTAAATTATCGCATACATAATTCTTGCTTTGGCACTATATGTTCGTTAGAGTGACTAATGTTTGGTTTGGCATATTTGCATGATCTGATCTATAGCTGCGTCCGGCACGGGGTTTATGGCGAGAGACATGAGATTTGAGAACACCGCCGGCGCGGACAAGGGCCAGGCGGTGGCACTGATGGTGGACGCCGACAAAGCCATCTTCTTCCGATGCAAAATCTCCGCCTACCAAGACACCCTCCTTGCCCAGGCCTACCGCCAGCTATTCTACCGCTGCCACATCTACGGCACCGTCGACTTCATTTTTGGCTACTCCCTCGCCGTCTTCCACACCAGCCGCATCCTCCTCCGGAAACCCGTGACAGGCCAGGAGAACGTCGTCACTGCCCAGGGCAAGTACGAGGCCCGCGTCATGTCCGGGTTCTCCTTCATAGGTTTGCTCTGACATCAGCAAAAATCACACATTCGACGAAATACGAGTTATTATAGAGTATAAAAATGGACCGGGACAACAGAACTTTGTGCCACGACCCTCACTCACATGGTGTTGTGTTTGGGTCGTGGCACAGAGTTCTGCGTCATTGTGATTGTTTAAGTGGAGATGACCCATAACCCATTGATTCAACGTTTTGGGTGGATATGCGGTGACCCAATTTACTTGGGGCTCGTTTGGTGAACGCAGGAGATATGAGTTCTGATATCGGGGATATGAAAACCCTTTTGTGGGTGTTAGTTGAAACATAAACAATGTTCGGATTTGATATCTCCAGATATCATGAGGATTCATAACCCTCCCAAAATCTCTCAAACACTATGATTTCATATTTCAAACTCATCTCACTTCTTGAGTTCAAAACTCAAATCATATCAACCCTCCAAAACTCACCAAACAGTCCCCCTTATATATTCTAGCTCTCAAGTGCATAAATGTTTTCATCCCCTCTAAACTTGACCAGGTTGCAACATTAGACCAGCGGAGGATCTCACCGGAGTCTCCACATTCTTGGGCCGGCCATGGAAGGATTATTCGACAGTTGTTTTTATGTATAGCCGAATCGGGAGGCTGGTTGATCCCAAAGGGTGGGAGTCTTTTGCCGGCTTACCACCTCCGGACACCATCTATTATGGCGAACGTTGGAACACCGGTGGCGGCTCTATGACGACAGACAGGGTCCGTTGGAAGGGAGTGCATACGAGAATGAGAAGATCCGAGGCAAACAGGTTTGGCGTAAACGCATTTATTCAGGGTTGTGATTGGATTAATGGAATAGGCATTCCTTGTAGTAGACTCTAGAGCCTAAGGATAGATGATGACTTTGATGTAAATGCATGTTTGGCATAGGCATATAGCAAAGCCGGTCCATTCTCTCTTTTGGATCCCGTGCTTAACTTAAGGTAAAACAATCACAGTTCCTATACAGTTCATAATTTCAGATTTTTTTTATTGAAAGCAAAACGTGAAAGATTTTAATGTGTTGTTTCAATATATTCATTATTTACCCCAATCTAAAACATTGAAAATTATGACTCGTTTAGCACCATTGGTAACATAAACTTGCACAGTTAAGGCAACAGAAACTTACTGGTGATTGGCATTGGTGATAAGTGTGTGGAGCATGTTTTTTTTCTTCACAACCATTTGCAAGCGAGCAAGAAAGACAACATCTAGTGCAAGAATCTCCTATGACATCGTAGAGATCCAAGCTCCTCGTACTCGGCCTTGCTTACACACATGGTTTCAAAATCAGGACTTGATGCCAAAAGTGATCCACCCCTCCACACCCCAAGTATAGGACTACACATGGGCAAAATAGAGAACGAAAATTTAGTTGGTTCAAGATGCAACAAGTAGTTTTTTTCAGTCATTTTTTCAAGGGGAGAGGAATTTTACTCTTCTTGTGCTGTGATCTTCACGCGATATTTATCAGGGACAAGAGGCCGAAGCTCATTTGCTCTGTATTTTTATGAAGAATTTAAATCAAATCCAAAGGAAAAAAGGAATAGAGAGAAAACCGGGGAGAAAAACTTACAGCCTTTCAGCAAATCCAGAGAATAATGTACTTCCACCAGTCAAAATTATGCTGTTCAAACCAAAGACACCAATGGTCATAGACAATAAAGATGCAATACTGGCTGCTTTAGAAGCATAGGGGAAGCATGTTACCTCTCATAGAGCACAGGGTGAAGATGAGGATGACAGGAATTGACAGCTCGTACAATGCACTCTGCAAGTCCAGCCTGGTTCATTCCTGCAACCCACCGGGCATTTGGGTTTCAATGAATTCAAATGTGAAAAGAATCAACAATTGAGCATTTCTTGACCCAAACACTAAGAGATTTCCTAAACCACAAAACCCACACAGAAATACATACACATAACTTTTCAAAATAAAACATGAAATAAAGACGCAATGTTACATCAACCATTTCAAATCTTTTGTAAACAGACACTATTGATGCTTCACAATTAAATTCCGTAGTTCAACACTCCAATGGCAGCTGAGAGTAAATAACTGGGACACATACCTAGGTCTGCTGGGCGGAAAATCATCTCCGGGACAAGGAATCTTTCATTTGTTAAACAAAATTCCTGTTTAAAATGCACAAAATCATCAGTGAGTCAAAATATTAAAGGCAATAACATTCATAATGCAGAAGCTTACATTTTTTGACAAGTCAATTCTTGACACATCAATCTTTTTTCGGCTATCAATGTCATTAGTGATGTCCTCCTGATCAACACTATTTTGTGTTTCTGGTACTTGATGCTCAGTTGAATCATAGAGAGACATGTATCTCTTTGCTTCTTCGTGATCTTTTACAAAACCTCTCATATGTGTAACACCATCAGGGAGTACATATGTGCATTTGAACAAATTATCCCTGCCGGGTTTCCTACAAGATTGATGTGAAAAACAATTCAGCCTATGATTGAGAAAAATTTCGACTATCTCTGCAAGAACAAAGTATGAATGCATGAAGGAAATGAAATAAGACAGACCACAAGCGTAAAACACCCCCCCTCCAAAAAAAACAATACATCCCACTCAAGACTAGGGCCTGAGAGCAAGATGTACCATACCTCTATGGCTCTATCCCAAATAGTATAGAGGTTGCTTCTGAGGGGGACCCGTAAGATAGTGAAAACGTAGGGTGAGGAGTGAAATTAAAAAACACGTAGTACACAACGCATAGCTCCTACAAGTCTTCTACAACCCTAATACGACATTTCCAGAAACTCCTTTCAGAGTTTGTGCCCTCAGAGGTTTTAGACCACGCAGCCAAACAGTAAACGAATATGAAGGCAGAAGGCATACAACACAGCCTTTGAAAGTTCAATATCATATTTACTCATTTTACCTCAGAAGTGGTTAGTGTGAGTTCTACAAATGACCGTAACCGAACGGGTGATGGGATCTTGTAAGTTGTAACTAAGAAATTAAAGAAGACTAGAAAGAAATAGAGATACGAATTAAGGACCGAGAGGAAGGGAATAGAGAGAATTATCCCAAAGGATCCGAAGGAAAAAAATAAGACTTCAATAACAATTCACATCGAAATCATTAGTGAGGAAATAAGACCTTATCACTTCATTAGAAAATAGCAATTCACTCACATCACTATACATAGTGATACTCACAAACTATCCCTCACACCCATCACTATACCTAGTCAGTGGAGATTCTCCATGCACATTTTTCATCTGCTTCTTACCAGCTCTTCGAAATATGCAGTGTAAAGACTAAAAACGGAGTAGTAAACTTGAAATCATTAAATAAGAGTAACAAAAAATCTCTTTAGGGGCAAACCTAGCAATCTGCAAATCTCTGGCAGTATCCAAAGAAACAAAGCAGAGTTTCTCCTTAACATCATCCATAAGAAAGCTCTCATCCATGACATTCAAGCTTCTATAGCTCACCAGCTCCTTCAAGTAATTACTCAGAGCCTTTCCCCCAAGGTCAAGCCTTTTTACCCCATAGTTAAGAGTGAAGTTCTGGAACACCGGAGACGCGTGGGTGAAGGAGAACCCAGAGTCCACAACGAGGCTACACTGGGCCTTGGAAACAAGCCCATAGGGCCTGCGTGAGGCCTCGTAGAGATGGACCAGAGATGGCGAATCGGCCACGAACAGTGCCCGGAAGTTGAATTCTTCGAAAATGATTTCATCAATGGAGCGTTGGATGGAGGGGAGAGTGAAGAGGGGTTCGGTGAGGAGGAGGGAGGATTGGGAGGGGCTGATCTTGAGGAGATTGCTGAAAATGTGGGACCAGATCGAGGATTGCAGGTCGGCGTTGATGATGTGGCCGCGGTCGATTGGGCGGCGGACGGTGGCCGAGGTGAGATCTGCGTCTGGGGCGAGGAGTTGGTCGGCGATGAGCCACTTCTTCGAAGCAAGAGGACGGCCAGTGCAGTTCGGGACTACTGCGGCGGGGTCTCTCTCGCCGCCGATCCCCGCCTTAATCAGGCCGCCACCATTGTCTAGAACTATCACGTTGGGCATGGCTGCCAGTTGGGAACAATACTGCACGATGGGAAGTTTGGATATGCTCTTCGAAATATTCAAACACAAATCACACCGGTGAGTTTGGTATATGGTATGGACGCAGCCATTATGTAATACTCATTCTAGTACAATAAAACATTCATTTCGAAAAATGTAATACTCATTCTGGCAAAGGTAGTATTCATTTTAAAATAAAGAAGTACTCATTTTTACACATTTGTCTAATATAATTATAATAAATAGCTTAGTGTTCATTCTTAAAAAACAATACTCATTCTCAAATAAGGAAATGTTCATTCTGAAATAAAGTATTATTTAATTTTTTCACAATTAAAAAGTTCAGTACCATCATCAACTTCTTCCTCTATTCGATTCGTTCCTACTCATTTATACTCTCTGAGCATGGAGAATTTTAAACCCAGATTTATTCATGTTTGTATTGAATAAGAATATGATAATTTTCATAAGTGCTGGTACTCCTTCTCAAATCTGCTGGTACTCATTGTCATATATAATAGTTCTCATATATATATTCTGGACATTGGATAAAAAGTTTGCAAAATTTACAGAAATATCAGGATGTACCTAAAGGAAGGTACAGCTGGATGTACCATATAATTTGCCCACCTTGGTCTTGTTTGAAAATTAGCCATTGGCGGCCAGCCTCCTTGGCTTTTTGTATTGGCTGATTTGAAGGTTTAGTTACCTGTTTTAAGTGACTGATCGTATTAGCTGTTCACGAAAAATTGTTTGACTAATTTAATTGCTCATAAACAGCTATCATAAATAAAATTACATTTTAAGACAAGCCTATAATTATGTACTCCTAATGTCTTTTACGAGTAATATTCTACTTTCTTTTGTTTCTTGGATGTCCCAAAACAATTCACTTTTTTTAAAAAGAAGAAATTATGTGACCAAAAAGAATTCTCTTTCCTCTCTTCAAATTATAATTTTCTGATCACTCTTTTCACACTTTTTAATACTTTTTTAAACTCCGTAAAGTAAAAAAAATTACTCCGTATTTTAAAAGGGAGTAAGTATATTAGTATGAAAGGTTAGCTTCTTCGAAAAATATATATAAGTGGAATTGAGATCCAACTCGTCCGAAGAAAGAAACATTTGGTTTTGGCGGATGCGATATTCAAAGGCAAAGAAAGAAATTTAATGTGAATAGCCAATCTCAAACGCTGCACTCACTAGCTTTTCCAAATTTGGCTATGGTCCAACAACCAAGTAAAGAGGCTAATTTTCAAACACCTATTTCAGTTGATTCATTAGTCAATTACACTATGAGGAATTTACTCATGTAGCACTAAAACATAATGACTTTCCCTAAATAGCACCACATGTGTTTTTCTTTCAATGTAACACTTTTAATCATTATGCATTAGTCATTATTCAAGTAAATATTCACCATCACAGGACATTATAGACATTATTAAGTGCTATTTGGGGAATAAAACAATTTAAGTGCTATTTAGAGAAATGACTTAAGTTTTAATGCTATTTAGTGCAAATATTTCTTACACTATATACGGTCAAAAAAGCCAACAACTAATCCAATAACCATTTTCCAAACGCAACCCTTGTTTTAGCATCTTGGTATCAAAGCGCTTAAGCTTAAATTGCTAGCTTGATGATCTTTAATCATGGGAGATCTACAAGAAAGTGCAAATCTAACTATATAACTCGTGCTTAGATGAACAGTTCCAAAAGTCAAAAGTGGACAAATACTCAGGGACGGACCAAGTACAATGGTAGGATGGGTTTTTGTACAGTGTTCCCGCCCAATTTTTTGGGCCGAGTCATTGCTAATTGGGCTGGGTGTGAGGAGCTTAGAGTAAATGGGGCTATGAGGTCTATTAGTGACAGGCTATTAAAGTGTACCCGTATAGTTTACTCCGTAATCCATTGTCTGGCTATTAAAGTGTACAGAGTGGCAGAGAGCCATATCCAATCAAACGCACCTACCTCAAGTCCAATTGCACTTATTAAGAAGATTTAAGAGATCTTTCTTTTTGCCTTTTCAGAGCCGCGTGCACAACCTTCTCGGGTAAGCTGCTCGCCTTTTTTTCTAGGGTTTTGTCTGCTCTTCGAGCTCTAATGTCGCTGCTCATCGCTCGCGAGAGACCAGCTTCTTCCGCATTTCTTTTTTATTACTTCGTACAAAAATGGAGGAATAATAATAGATTAATTTTTCAGATGGTTGTTGTCCGTCTTCGAACTTAGCCACGACGGTAACAATTCGATTTTGTTGGGACAACGATAATGGCAGCGTGGTTGGTTGGGTATTTACACCATTTCAAGTTCAGTTTAATTTTCCATCGAAAACTACATTTGTAATTATAGATTTGGATCTTGGATGTCGTTCTTAGGAGAGGTGGATAGAGCTGGAGAACAATACAGCTTCAACCCAACTTATCAGGCCGGGGCTTCAACGGAAAGTAGAGAATGTGAGATGAAGGTAATTCCCTATTCTTCATTATTTTTTCAATTTCTTTTGTATTAACATTAAGATTCTTAGATTTTCCAGAAATTTGGACCCAAATTGAAAGGAGATTAGAGGCACAGCTCAAACCTGTAACCTGCTAGAAGGTTGCCGATGAGACACACTATTCACCCTTTTTATTTATTTACTTATTATTTATTTATTTTACTCTCTTTTAATTTAGTTTTTCAAATTTACACCTGATGTGGAGTTGCAAATTTGCTAAATGTGTGTATGAGGCTGTTTTTAGGGGTATGAATATAGATATTTATGTTACTTAGTTTAGGGATGTTGGAGACGCTATTATAAAGATTAATAGTCGAAGATTACTTTTGTTACTNGTTGCCGATGAGACACACTATTCACCCTTTTTATTTATTTACTTATTATTTATTTATTTTACTCTCTTTTAATTTAGTTTTTCAAATTTACACCTGATGTGGAGTTGCAAATTTGCTAAATGTGTGTATGAGGCTGTTTTTAGGGGTATGAATATAGATATTTATGTTACTTAGTTTAGGGATGTTGGAGACGCTATTATAAAGATTAATAGTCGAAGATTACTTTTGTTACTGGGGCTTTGTGTTGCTATGGTATTTGGACAGCAAGAAATGGGGTTTAAGTGGCCTGTTAGTTCTGTACTAGCTAGAGAACATTGTTTTTGGTTGAGGTTTGGTGAATAAATTATGTGCATTTAGATATCAGTTTCCAAATTCATAAATTATTGAAATGAAAATGTAGTAAGTTTAATTAAAAAAGGTTAAATTTTAATTTCATCTCCTTCTTTGTTGTTGTAGGCTCTTAGTCAAAATTCTCAAAGCGTAGCCTCCTCTTTTTTTTCCCACTTCAGAAAGTTCTTTTTTAAGGTATGGAATTAAGTTTTCTTATAAAAAATTCTTACAGTTTGTGGTTGTGATACTATGTTCCTACCGTTGTGACCCGAAAATAGTTTCACGAGACCAATAGGAGTCATGTTCCATCTAATGCAGTAGAGAGGTTTTGGGCAGGGGGCAGATGTGGGGCATATCATAATCTTTCTCCAGCAGATTAGTGATGTTTTGGCTCAAGGATGGTTGAGGTTAGGTTCTATCATCTTATGAGCTTTTAATGCCATGTTTTTGAGTATATATTCCCAATTATAATATGCTCTCATATGCTGAGATTGCCAAATTGGATAGATTTTTAGTAGATGATAGGAAGTAGTATGATTTTTTGAAGAATTGCTGTTCATTCCAGTCACACTACTTTTTGTTCTTCCAGACTCTTCTTTTAGCTATGCTTTGCGTATGCACACTTTTTAACTCTGAGTACCAAAATCATCTTTAGTTTAAAAGGACAAAGCTTCAATCGACTATTCAATGTGAAGCTACTTTCCATACCTTCGATTCCCTTCTCTAATGGAACCGGCAATGAGATTAACCGATCTGGGACTTCGACTAGACTTAGCACAGATGAATATGGTTTTAGACTGCCCAGATTCAAATTTTGCACCTTAAGTGAAGTAACCAGATATTTAAGATTCAGGTTCAAAGAGGTAATAGAGGGGTGGTTCTCCTTTAATTTTTATAATTACTTTCTTCAGTGATTTGTAGTTGTAGATCACCAATAGCACACTATATTTCTTACCAAGAAATAT